CCCGCGGCGGAAAGCCGGCTCCTCCGCGGAAGCATGCTCCAAAACACAGAACGCCATCATTTTTTTGTCACTTCTACAGCCCCATTTATAACTCTCTGCGTTGACAACAGGGCCCCACCATGTTGTCGCTTGGTGTCCAGAGAAGGCACCAAGGAACTTTCAGGTGAGTCCCCCGTATGGCTGCGAAAACATCTGCCGTGTTCAGACATAACATTCAGAAATAACATATTCAGGTCTTAGCTCCTGCTCCAACATGGGATGGGCTTGAAGGTTTTCTTGGTGTTCTCCATCAGGACAAGGTCGTACCTGCACAGCTGTGGTCTGCATAAAAACAGTCAACAGGAGCCAAAAGTGAAAAATTGGCCTTTCTTGTATCATCCCCCAGGCAAGTCTCCCAGCATGCTGGAGGCTTAAATAAAGTCACGTTCTCAAGACAATAAGTGAGGTGGACTCCAAGCCTTACTGAGGTCAGGGATACCTTGAGCGTATTTTCATTCTGTTATACATTATCTTTTGCTTTGCCTCATGGAACAACAAAACAGCGAGCAAACTGAGGTATTGGCTACAGAGTTCATGGTACCCTTTAAGCCAGTCTACACTTGCATGACCACCAAACGGGTGGTCCTTCCATCTCCCCTTGCCCACCTGCGTGTTCCTGCCAATTCCCTGGTGTCAGCATTTGGGATTGTGCTGCCACTCTGAGCTGAGACCAGGTATTGATCTGGCTTAGAACTAGCCCAGCCGAAAAATCGAGGCAATACTTAGGCTTTCAGCTGGGGCTACATGAGCATTAGCCCTGGCATAGGGAAGGAGAGAGGGCAGGACATCCCTCCTTATGGCAGTGACTGATTACTTAATGGTGTTAAAATAGTCATGAAACGGTACTCATAGCCTGTGGCAGCCCCTCCTAGGGGAGAGTGGACAGCCTCTGATGAAATGTTTGGGCATTTGCATCTACTTTTTAAAAGATTAAATGTGGATCTGGGACTGGAAGTGACTGTGGAGGTGTAGGACAGGAGAAGGGGAGTGTCAGTGAGGGGGAGCTGCAGAAGGACTTTGCTTATTAGACATGCACAATGACTAAGGTAAGGGTAGCAGACCTTCATGAACTGCAAAGAAACCTGTTCTGCAGGTCTGTCCTTTTTTTGCTCCACCCTTCTCACTCTGTGGTGTGCAGTCCTTGTTTTAACCCAAATTTAAAGCACGTATGGCTTGATGTCCACATACTGTCCTTGCACACAAGGTCAACCTAAGAGATTCTGTACTCGCTGAGCTCAGGCAGAGATCCCCTCCTCCAAAGGTTCCCTAAAAATCAGGGAAGTGTAAGGGTAGGACTGTAGAGCAGACAGAGGTTAACAAGGCTATTGAAGCGGCTGTAGAAATCTCATCAGCAAATGAACCTGGTAGGTACCTCATGATGTTGTGGACAGTAGTCAGTGCTTTGAGGCATAGTGGCGAGCAGCTCCCAGTTACTGGAATTCCAGGAGTAGATTAATCTCCCTGTTTGACCGGACATAGAAATTGACTGGGATATAAAACGTGTATTTGGGGCTGGACATCTGTATTTCCCTGAGAGTTGCATTTACTTTCAGCCCAGAGTTCAGGCCTGGGCAGCTTCTCTATAGCTACTCAAAGGTCATTTTCCTCACCAAAGGTTCAAATGTCAGACCATGTCAGAGTCAGACCACTAATTACATGTTTTCAGTACAATAAGACAACCTCTGTGTTCAAGTTCAGCTATGGGATTTGTGTGCATGCACTAAAGGCAGAATTTATTCCCAAGATATGTGTGCAAGAATTATTAAATGTGAAATAAATATATTTTTTCTGGACGAACTCAGCCAGGCCAGGCATCTGGGAGATTAATTTACTTCTGTCCAGTTTGCAATGACAGAAATGGTTTCTAAACATCTGCTTACCTTTCTGGATTTGTAAGTGACCGGAACCTCATTTGGAGAATCCTGAGTTTGAATTTTGGGCCAATGACAGATCCTGTGGAAAATGTCAAGGAAATTCTTTCTACGTTTTCAAAGTCCTGGTCGAATCCAATTAGCAAAGTGATTTGGTTGTACTGCTGAAAGGCTGCAGCTTCTCTAAAGATAAAGCAGACAAGGTGTCAGAGAGTCACCAAGGGAATAGCTCCATTTTTAATATATTCAGTATAATATTAGAAACAGTGCCGGGGGAGGAGGAGGAGGACTGAACTTATGATTAGTTTCTGATTTACAGGAAATGGGTGTGGATTCAGGTCTCCAGGTGTGAACCTGCTCAGCCACTTTTGCACTCTGTTATTTGGGGCGGGAGTGGGGACACAGAAGTCTGATGCTGTTTGCTCTGGTCCCAAACCAGAATCCTCGCTGTGATTCTGCTTTGAACTCGAGTGGACTAGACCCAAATGTTGTTCGTACATGGCTGGCTGTGCAGACCTGAGTGCTGAGTCATCTGTGGAGTTTGCAGAATATGTTGCTGTATATAAAAATCTGGTTGTAACAACACTGTATGGCTGAGGTAGCTCTACAAATGGAAGACTCTACCTTGGGGGTATTAATGTCCCTAACTAAATTTCTGGTAGTTCTCTTCTGGCAAATGCAGCAGAAGCGTCTGTGAAACAGTGCAGCTTTGACCGGGATTAATGGAGAGTAATCCAGCTTCTCAGGATAGGAAAATAGCACGGGTTTAAAGACGTGAAGCCTCGCAGGTCTGGGGTTTGACCTTGGTCTTTTTTGACAGAGTGACTGGTTTCACTTTGAGATATGTGTGAAAACTGCACCGGTCTTGGGGCAAAAGTAGCACAGCTGCTCACAAAAACGCTGTGGCCACACCACACGTTCTTTATATAGCCAGTTGTATGGACATAGTTTAAGGTTTCCCTTATGAAGGTGAACCATGCAGATGTGACTGGAAGCATATCCCGGTTGCAATACTCAACATGACTGGCTTTGTTTAGAAGTTTTAGGAGGCCTGACAAATAGGACAAGTTTTAACCTGTCAAAGGTGTTTACGACGTGTGTGTGTAAGCATGCTGCCTGGTGGGCTGTCACACACTTGGCAGAGCGGGGTGGTCCTGTTGTGCAGCCCCAGGGAGCTATGCAGATTGCTCCAGTGCAAGCAGATACGGCTGAGAGAATATGCAGTTAGAGACGCTTGGGAAAACTAGTTGAGCAGGACTTGTTTGGCTGAAGTGTGTTTAGATCAATCAGGAATTTGCATGTCCACATAAACACCATTAATTTGCCTCTCCAAGTGGAATGAATTGATTTGGATGTTACATATTCAGGCCCAGGTTCATGCCAGCTGTCTTGGGCACCCAGAGCTGGAACAGAACACTTCCAGGAAAGGGAAGGAAAGAGGGGTAGATGTGTTTTTCCTCCTGTTTTAGTGGAAGCCTAGGATAGCCATGCCGCTGGCTGAGATTGTCCACTTCGGTCCTTAAGATGACTGAGAAGGGTCCAAACCCTGGCTGGGCTGTCAGCTGGTGTGTGCTGGGGGAGTCTGGGAAAATCACATAGGGCCGGACAAGCCCGAAGGCACGTACACTATCAAGTACCAGCAGAGAAATTAGAGGAGGATATCTTGCCTCCTCCCAGGTACAACTCCCCGGATGCAGTTGTACCAAGTGATTTGCTAACATTTACAGATTGTGAGATTGGTAAAACTTACGGATTAACTTTAGATTCTGCCTTCTTCCCAGTTTCATCAGCTAGTACAATGCTGAAGGTGCCTCTTCTGGTGTCTTTGTTCCATGTAATAATATCCACAAAGTAGTGATAAACTGAGGTGAGAGAGAGGGTGGTTAGACTCTGCACACTCTGCTTTCCAGCCTGACTGTGTGCCTGTCTGGGAACTGAGCTGCAGGTCTTTCTCCCATTTGCTCATTTGACACAACTCGTTCAATTTATGTCTAAAATCTCTTTCGTCTTCCTTTGCAGAGATTTCTAACAGAAATACTAAGAGATGTCTGGGAAAGTACTACAGCAAGGGCTCACAAGTGGCATGCAAGATGGCCTCTATGTATGGCTTTCAGCACACCACCTTTCACTCCCTGCCTTCCCCGTTCATTTTCAGATTGCCTTTTTTTCTCCTGTCCGCCTCTGATCCCTTTCATTTCTGTTCTCAGCATCTTTCATTTGTCTTCTCTGTCATGGAGCAGAATCGTCTGCTCTCTACTCTGGTCTGTAACTCCCTGAATTCATTTGCTGACCAGCACTGGAGCTCAGGCCATAATCCCTGCCCATGGCTTGGTATGTTGGTGATCATGAGGGTGAAACCTTTTTTCACCCTTGATTCTCCCTTGCCTGGGCCCTTTTCCTGTGCCTTTCACTTTTGTCCAGGGTAGCTTTTTTACCTGTTCAGCTCAGAGCATGTCTTTGACTCTCATTGTTCCCACACACCTCTTTCTTGCACAAAAGAGTGGTGTGTTGTTTTGAAACATGGTTTAGGAACTACCCTTTTATGTTTCATTTGCATGTTCTCAACAAATTTCCTAGCACTGTAAGCAAGATGAGCCTGTTCTTGCACATCTCTAGCGAGTAGTTGGCTTTCACAGCACCAGGCAGGTTTGCAGGTAAGAAATGTAATGACAAGACTGCAGGTGGACTCAATTCTATCCAGCAGCCACTGGCTTTGTTTCTAAAATGCTGGCTATGATGCCAATAGCAACTAACCATCTCTGGTTCAGCTATTGCTGAAGGAGGCAATACACAAAGAAAAATCATCTCAGAAATCTTAGTCACTTACTACAAAATGGCTCTTTGTCCGCTGTATCAAAAAACATACTTGTCACTGGATGGCTCTGTTGTGTTAAATAGCTTTTCCACTTATGGGCATAATAACCTATAGATGACAGTTTGAAAATGAAAACAGAAGAAAACAGAAAGAAACAGAGAGTTACTGCACAGGGATATAAGCAACTGAATTGCTGAAAATAACAAAGCAAGTATTTAAGAAATAGTATATTCCTTGCCAGCTGCAAGGTATTACTGTGACACATGCTCCCATACTCTGTAGACTTATACCAGGGCTTAATTTTACTTGTGTAACTAAAGCCAACTGAGTGTCTAAATATGCCTGGTTACTGTTCAGCACTTATTTTAAGATTGATCTTTTTCCACGTCTGATATCCATGGTCAAGAAGGATTTAATTTTGCAGTGCAGAATGAAAATCAGCCCCTTAGCTTTGCAAGTTCATCTCTGGAAGTGTCAGGTTTTTTTAGCATCAACATTTCAGAAATGGCAGCCTGAAGCTGGGCTGTCACATCCAAGCTGGGACACCTCTGTTGGTCAGTTACAAAAAAGCAGAATACCCTTTGTTCACCCCTCTGCCATTCCTTTTAGAGTCAAGAGGGGTTTGTGGTGCTGAAAATTTCTTAGAAAAGATTCTGTTTTAGCAAGAACATGCCCCTATCCCTCAAACTCTGCAACTAACGGACTTTAATTCATTGTTTTTGTGACTTTAGTGTAAAGATCCCAAGTCTTGTTTTGGCTTTTCTAGTTCTGGATCCTTTACATGTGGATTTCTTTTCTAGATCATAACATGATGTGACCGTACAAAGAGCAGGGAAATTTCTCAGGCCTCTTTTGCCTGCATCAGAGGCTTGTACCTCTGCAGAAGTCAAGGAGAGACCACCTCAAAAACCTCGGTGGAAATAACTTACATGCTTTTGCAAAGCACTGTGTTGTGTTAGTCCTTTAGCAAAACATTTGTCACACACCAAGTTACAGTAATGATGGGCAGCTCTGTCAGACACAGGATGTATTTACGTTCTCTGGATCCTTACCTAGGATGGGACATGGCATAGGCCAAAAAGTTTCACAGCTGGTACATTTGCCATTCCTGTAATTTCTGTATGAGTCACACGGGTATGCAGTAATATTGCAGCTCTGTTTCAGAGATGACATGAACAGGAAAACAGACCTCTGGTGGTCACATTTAAAATACTGCAATCCTTAATCATACATAGAGAAGAAATATTTTGTTAGCAATCCTCATGCTTCAGGAAAACAGTATTAATGCACTAGCGAAAAGGACACACCATTGGACAGTCACTGACCAGTCTGAACACAACAGATTGCACTGGGCTGTGGCAGAACAGTGAGTGGGCACTAGCGCCTCCCTTTGAGTGCACTCAGCTGTGCCTATGTCCACTTTACTTTTCTTCTTGTCTTTCTTGGTTTTAAAAACATGTTTGTTTGTATTGTTACTGTAGTTCCAGAGGATCCAGCTATGGATCCTACTCCGTCTCGGGTCTCCTCATCTTCTCTCTGAGCTCAGGCCTGACAGCTGGATATTGCTTTTCTTTTTTGCACATGGCCTTCCATTTTGGTGTTAAAAACTCTTTAGAAAGACATAACTAATAAAACGAGTTGTTGCATGAGCAGCAAAATGAGTGAAGCCTCATTTCCTATGGATTTTTGTTTCAGGCTGGTTTCCTGTGTAGATTCTCTTGGGTCTGATAAGGGTTGAGTTCACATTACTGCCTTTTCTTTTGTGAGGTATCTTCTTCACCCAGTTTTCATAAAACCAGTTCTGCTGCCGGGCTGCAAAGGAAAAGAGCTTTCTTGCATTCAAGACTAGGGCTCTACCTGCCAGACTGCACTATCTGTCACTGCCAAGAAAGGTGCATTGGATTCGGTATAACTGCCTACCCCACATTCATCTTGAACCTGTTTTCTGAACAGTTTATTTCCATTGCTAGTCCTTGGGGTTTTGTGTGTGTTCTAAGTAATTAAAAAAAAAATATCCCACAGGTTTTCTAAACATTGTCACAAAATGAAGGCACAAATCTGCCTGATGACTTTTTGCACGGAAAATTAATCCCATTTGCATTTGTGACAGAGAGCAGAAGATCACCCCTCACTCATACGTCTGCCTGGTGCACATCAGCTAAACTCCTGTTATGTCAGTGTGCCACATCAGTGCTGGGAAGAGATTGCTGTCATGGCTTTCCCAGAATGTGGTTTTCATGTATTTTCTAAGCAGTGATGATGTTTCTCTGGCCTTCTCCTCTTTTCTGATTGGAAACATTTTGTCAGTGTTTGTGCAATTCAATGCAGAATTAATTACCAGAAAATATTGTCAGTGGACAGCCAGGCTGGTCGGTCCCGCCGTTGGGGTAGAAGTCTATGTGGCCTAGTGCGTCTGTGTAACCTAGTCCTGACAAAAGAAAATATGAGGGGTAGGGGGAGGGAATATTAAATCGTAAAATGAAGAAGAAAGAAACATAACTGGAAAAAATAATAGTTATTTAGCTCTAGGATGCCTGTCTGTGCAGGAATATTAATGTCATTCATCTATTTAGGCAGCAGGCCAAACAGTTGTGACCCAGCTGCGTCATTTTAGCAGTGGTATCAAATACCTAAAATAAGTCTGTGCATGTGAGTACAAAATTTGGCTTTTTGTGTCGCTGTGTGTGGGAGAGGAAAAGGGATGTGAAACACTGGGTATTGCTGTGCTGCTGAAGTCCGAGTTCTTGGAGGGACTGGGAGAAGACGAGAGGCAGCAATGAGGTGGGAAAGCCTAGTGCTGGGGGTAGGATGCCAGTGGGAGCAGAGTGGAGGGCTTGCATCACACTGCTGGCCTGGCTGGCAGATGCGAAGACATGCTGTGCACTGGTTGGGAAAGGAGCGAGCTGAGGAAGATTCCAGATTCGCCCTAGAGGAAGGTTTAGCCCATGGGAGGTGGGATGAAGACTGGAAGCATCATGCAGGGAGCCACGGGGTTGGGGATAGCTGATCTGCTGTGCAAGGCATTGAGCTGTGTGACTAGCTTTTGAGATGCTGCGTGCTTGGCGGCAGCCTGACCAGCAGTGCGGCGTTAGTGTGGAACTGCTGTGGCAGGACTGTGTGCTGCGGTAGCAACAGGGCATTCCTGCACCAGGGCCTAAGTCCTTGTACTTCATGGGCCACAAGGCTATAATTGCTGTAGAACAGCAGCATGTTTTGAAATGCAAATAAAACAGCAGCTCCTGAGGGAGTGCTGAGCACAGTGTGAGGAACACAGGACCACAGGGCCCTTCACAGCACCAGTGAAGGAGACTGCTGTCCTCCTAGGCCAAAGAAGCAAGGATCCCCCAGCACTGCTGCCTACCAGAGCCCCCGCTTTCCTGTGCTCCCCCTGAGTTTCTAGGTTTCCTCATAATGGTAAAGAGGAGAAACGTTGCATACCATCGGTGTCCGAATGAATGACATCAACAAACTGTGCGTCTGTAGGATCCAGCCTCTCACTAGGCGGCTTTCCTCTGTACAAGGGGCCTGCTGGGTCAAGGCCTGCAACACAAAACCATGCGCATGGCATCACTTCCGTACTGTGCAGCTCGCTCCGCTCATGGTGAACAGCTATCCTCAAAGCAAAAGGACTGACAGGAAGAAGGGCTTACCTGTGATTCTTCCAAGTGTACCATCAAACATCTGTCCCACAAAGCCAGAGATGTGTGCTCCCAGGCTCACTCCTATCATGTGCAAGGAGTCAAGTGATGCTCCATCAACCTGCGATTTAAAAGTACTCGTGGTCACAGATTTTAGGCACATGAAAGGCATAAAAAATATCAGGAGGAGGAATGTAAATGCATCTCCCTGCTTTTCCCACATTTTCCCTTGGTGTGTTCCACTCTGTGTAAATATTCCCCCTCTGATAGTCCCATAGTACAACTAGCACTCATGTTGAGGGCTCATATCTGAGAGAGCTGCGATGAGAACAGTTCAGGCAATGGTTGTATTTTCCTGGGGCAGTGACTACAAGTGTGGACAGGAACGAGTATTCACAGGCCCCATGAGTTGCCCACAACTCCAGTTGCCCACATGAGGTTCCTGCAAGGCATTAGCAGACACAACAATCCTAATGAGCCAGTGTCATCATTGACTGTGCCTGTGCAACAGTCAATTGCAGGAGGAGCTGCAAACTGTAGCTGATACCCATAAGCTGACTTTTGGACATCCAGAAAGTGGAAATAGAGTTTCTATGTATGGGAAAACATATCTGTAGAGTTTTGTATCCAGAAATGTAGAGACTTAGAGCGTAAACTGAATATTGCAACAAAATACCATCATACCAAGTCCAAGGGTAGAATGTGGCACTGCAGTATAGCTGCACTTCCAAAAATAAATGCATTCCTTTTTAGGAGTTTCTTTTCCCAGACATCCTGCTGTGTTTAAACAGTTCCTTTGTGCCCTTTACATACTGTGCATTAACGACTATATCATAGTGTGAACGTTCAACTTACCAACATTTCATCAATAAGTTTCTTCAGAATCTCAGCAACTTTCTTGCAGTTTCTGGAAGCATTACTGTAGATGAGAGTTGTTGCCCCCTGGTTCCAGTCCACAACGATGACGTTCATGTCTTCTACAGAAAGCAGAAGATGTACCAAGTCAGGGATCCAGACCGGGATAGAGCCTGTGAGTCGGTATCCGTGGATGATGAAGGTAGTTTTCTTGGTCACATCTAGATGCTTGGAGGCTGCTGAATCGAGCTCTTCAGCACAGTTTGGGTTCTGTCTGGTGTAGAGCAGCAGCTTCACTTTCAGGTCTGTCCCTATCAAAGCATTGCTGATGCTGAGAGCTGTGAATGCAGGGCATGTCTTCCCAGGATCTGAAAAGAGCAGTGTGGCAATCCTGAGGTTAGCACCAATGTGTTTGCTTTGACCTTTTCTACCTGCCTGCCCTGCACAGGCCCAGGTACATATGCTATGAGCTGTCCGAGCCGGGGCTTCTCCTTTCCTCTCCATCACGTTCATGACTGGAGATACCCTGAAACTTAGGTTTTGTTGCCATGTTGGAACAAAGACAGCAAGTGTACCTTCTTGGAGCAGCATTCCCTGAAACAGCACAGTCCTGCTTCCACTAGCAGCTGAGAGATGGTATGGACTTTCTCCAAAAATCCCACTAGTGTGAGGAAGGTATTAGAGACTGACAACTAGGGTGGTTGCTGTATTGGTTTGAGAGCACACCCAGATGCTCTGGGCAGGTTCTAGGGTAAAGAGATATCCTTGTGGTTTGTTTGTAACTCCAGTCTGGAGCTGACAAGCTGCAGAGGATCTTGCTGTTGTGAGGGACAGCTCAATGCTTCATTTGTATTTGCAGATGCAGCCTGCTATTTCAGACTGCGAAATGGGACACCCTTTGACTGCATGAGATATGTTACTGATATTGCTTTATACACAGCTGAAGAGTAACTGTATTTTATGTAAGTGCTGCTTTATGGGACGGTCTCTGCCATTTGAAAGCCTGTCTTTGTTCCTTGCTTTTCCAGCAGAACACCAGCTGAGCCTTCAGAGTCCAGTACAATCTCCAACAGGGCACTGGCAGGGAATGGAATAACTGTTTCCAGACAGACACTGCTTATGAAGGCCCTCCCAGGTTTTGCAGCCTCTTCCTGGCTCACAATCCTTTTCCCCAAATCCCCTTAATCTTATTGAAGAACCTTGTGGGAGAGAGTGTCTCTCTCACACATACAGCCTGGGCTGCAGTAATCATTCAGGCTGCAGTTGCTAGAGAAATCTTCCTGATCTTTGTTGCTTAAAGGGCTGTGCAGTAGGTAGAAGGGTTTAGAAAACCTGCAGCTGTAAGCTAATTGTGCTCTAACAAATCTCCAATACGCTGTGCATTTTAATTTCTAAATGATGAAACTCTCACAGTTTCTACAAGCAACTTTCCCTTTTCTCCTCCTATGGAAATCAGGAGCATGAGCGTGATATAAATGCTATGTGCCCAGCACATAAAATAATCTGCTCAGTTGCCATAGTTCTGCTAATTACTTTGTAGAAGCCCCAGAAACTCCAGAAATGAAAGTTAATAGGCTAAAAGGATGTTGCAGTTAAGTCCAACTGGATATTTTAAATTGCTAACATAAATTCAGAAATAAATTTTAACATTTGAAATCCATGGAGTCCTTCCTGTATAAAGCCTATGGTAAAATATGAATAGCAGGACAGGAGTGGTGGAAAATGAGCCCTCAGCCAGGCCCAATGAACATGAGTTGAAATCAGTGGCCTTTGAATTGAGGGTGTTCTGCCTCTGTAATGCTTCAGTCAGGGCTCCCAGGGGCAGTGTGACTCTGGGCTCTGCTTGCAAGAGTAAAGGTGACCTGGGTGGCTGTCTCCTGACCAGCTTGCTCTCACCTCGTTCTTACAGTGCCAAGATGCTCCAGAGAAACAGCAGCAAGAGTTCTCTTATGACACTGCTCATGTGGAGATCTCAAAGTAACTAGCAGAGAAAAGTTATCATTTTTTGCTGACATATACCAGCATACACAGTGATACTCAACGACTGTCCTCTAGGTGCTACTGCAACATAAAAAAATACAATTATTTTTTACTAATAACTAGAAATTGTTACTGTATAGTATTATTATACAATATTGTTAATCATCTTTACTGCCACTGAAGCTGTAGGAATATAGGCAGAAATGCCAGGCAAGAATTACTTCTATATAGTGCAAGATTGCACTGATTGCTTAATTTGTTTCTACATCTCCTCCATTGTGCTGAGACTTGCCCCAAGGAGCAAGCACTATGTTTGTCACCAGAACAACCCAAACCTTCTGGTAAAGAAGACCTTTTAAAGAGCTGATCGGCATTTGCTAATACCTAACACAGGAATTGTTTAAAAAAGCCTTGTTATATCTGCACCAAGTCTGTTAGATTTGTTCTATTTTGATTAACAAAATCAGATCAGTGCTAATAGTGGGGGAAAACGTGCCAGCTTCACTTCTGGCAAGCTGGTGCATATCCCAGACTCATCCACCATGTGTTACAAAAGCTGACACATGAGGACAGCCAGTTATCCTGGCTTTGCTCTTCATTCTGATAAGCACAGTGAATCCTACCCAAATGGCTGGAAGTGTCTTTGAAACTGCAACAAGATTTCTCTGATGGGGCAAGAGGCTTACTGAGATTAAGTCTGCAAGCAAATAAGCGAGGTGGAAACTCACAGCCTGGCACTATACTTAACCCGTATCCAGCAGACCACTTTCCTCCGGGAAAGATGAATAAATGTGGCAATTAACCCAGTGTCCCATTAACTTGCTCCCAGCTCTGTCTTGGCCATTAGCTTGCTGAACAGCCTCAGGCAATTCAGTTTTCTCCCTCTGCTCAATTTTCTGATATGTAAAATAGGACGGCAAACAGCAGTTTCCTGGGCAAGGTGCTCTGACATCTCAGCACCTGTAGCAGGGGGCATACCAATCTGTTAAACTGATGTTCCTATGTGGGAGCTGGACATCTTTTGTCTCGAGCTTGAGATCAGCCTCTGAGGCGCTATTGCAGCAGGAGGGGCTGCAATATATATATATATAATGAAGTTATATACTCCCAGGTGGGAGTGTTGCGGTCATGAGAATGGTCCCAGGCAGACTCTGTGGTATTTACTGCAGTCAGTGCTACTTAAGGCCTGCATTCCTCTGGTCTCTCTCACTCCTTTCTTGGAGACAGTGTTTGTAGGCTTTTTCTTCCTTCTGTCCTGGATGTTCATTCTATAGACAGGCAGGGTTTGCAATAGTGGCATTTTGGGGCTGTGGTCTTGAGGCTGTCTGCATGAATAGAATAGCAGCTGAGTTTTTTAACTCCACCAGTGTGTCCTTTTGCAAAGTGAAGTTCCAACAGATTTTCACTTCAATGGGTCAGTGGTCACTTGGTCAGATTTGTAGTTGTCCTAGCTGTGGTCCTTGGGAGACCGTATTGCCACACAGAGCCTGTGAAGGGGGCTGCTCACCGAGTCAACACCTTGCTTGGACTTCAGATAAACGTGTTGCTGCTTCTGCATCTGTCTGCAGTTTCACCGACACTCAAAACCCTGTCACCTTGCCTGAGCTTTTTATGGTGTGTTTCAACAGACTGGTCTTATGCATCAATAATGAAGTCTTCAGCTTTAAGCACTCTTCACTTCTGCACAGCAAATCTCAGTAGCATTATTGAAGAATTCCATCACTTTTCCATAGAGAGAGTGTGCCCTCTACCTCTTAAAATGGTTTTCAGTATCTCACTGGGTTTCCTTGGTGCCTTCTCACACAATTCTCTTTTTCCACTTATTATTACTACATTACCTACACATATTTAACAAACTAAGCAAAACATGACCCCAAGATATTACTCAGAGAACCTGATGAAATACAAGTTAGTATTTATAAGAATACTTTTTTTTTTCTTTTTGTTTGTTTTCCCTACAAAGCAGAGAGCTATAACTTGAGTTGCTCCCATGTGAATGCTAACACAAGGCAGTACATTTGTTTATTGTTACACAGGTTGATTCTTGATAGGGCTGTGAGGATATCAAATGAAATTTATTGTTCATAAATGGCAATTCGTCCTTCGCGTCTGTCATATAAGACACTGCTGAAAAGAAATCATTCTTCTCTGAAGATTTCAAATGACATTTTCAGTGTCGATGGATAGTACTTATATAAAAGAGAAATGTTTGCAAAGTGAGAAAAAGATAATAAAAATGACTTCTGGTTTTACATTTGGAACTCTTAGAGCTGACTACATTCATATAACCAGTATAATTTGCTTTGCAAAAATAAATAATGCTAGTGAAAAACCCTAGGCAGTAACTATAATGCAGAGGGTAGATACATTAATGTTTCTGCAAAACACAAAGCATGTTATATTTGACAAAAACATTCAAAACACACGGTTGATTTCTTACCTGTTTTCACCCCATACAAAAGGTAGATGAACACGACACACAGCCCCAGCATATGGACTTCCACATGGAACTTCTACAGGTAAAAGTTTTTAAGGATCCCACAAGTTCTTTGGCATGTGTCTGCTGTCTCTGACAACAGTTTGCTCTCTTTTTTCTGCCAGTAGCCGTAGGTGTGGTGAAAGGAGGAAGTTACCAGCCAAGAAATTAAGACCAGTCTTTAGTTATACAACTAAAGCTTCTTCTTAAAAAGGTGGGGCACCTTCTATTCTACGAGGTTTTCTTATTTTAAATATAGTTTGCCCTGGGGAATGACTAATCAAAGACACAAATGGTTTGGTATCGCGCTATAAGCAGCAATTTGACTACACATGTTGAAACTAAGGAAATTATTGCGTGTCTATTTGTCTTTTGCAAAGAATGTCAAAAGGCAGCAAAGAATGTAGGTGTCACTGCAAGTCTGATAAGCGTCTGGGCAGGGCCAGAACTTGGTTTCACAGGGCCCTACGTTGGTAGCATTCATGATGATCCCTACTCTCCCATGTCCCTCTGGCTTTCCTGAGCACTGTGGCCCAGCATCCCTTCTAACTATCCTGTCATCTCGGGCAGGAGGCAGATGCACAGCACGATGTCATGACTAAGGGAAGGTATCAGTTTGAGTCAATCTATCTGGGTCCCCATTGGGCTGCCAAGCAACCACTGTCTAGGATGACACTTACACATCTGGCATCCCCACCACATTTTCTTGCAGACCAGCTGGAACCTCATGAATCCAGCTCTAATTCAAGTAAGAAAGGCTTTTTTTTTCCTTGCTGGACAGGAGGAAGAAGATGGCAGATGCAAAGACAACTGTCAGGGGCAGGAAAGGAAGTCTGAAATTGGAGCTGGAAGATCTAGTGGCAAAATTGGAAAGATGAGGGTGGTGGGGAGTTTGTAAAGGGGTGAGAGGGGGGAGGGGAAGAGAGAACAGGGATGGCTGCTGGATAGAAGCTGTGTGGTAGCTTTGCCTATGTTTTCTTTGCAAATTCTCCTAACGTAGGCCAGGGAAAGGGAACATGGGGAGGATCAGAAACACCTCATTAAGCACAGGCTCTGTTTTTTTCCCCCTGGTCATGATCTATTGGAACTATTACAGTTCCCAGCTGCATAGCTGTTTCTTTGGTCCATGCTGTACATACTAAGCTTTTTGACTTTGCTAATTCTTGGGTTAATCCTTAACTCTGCCTGCTGGCTGTCTGCAGCTCCTTCTTGTTCAGACAAGTGCGTGCTGCTTGTCTAGTGCAGGCACGGCTTACACCTCAGACAGAGGAGTGCACCCAGCAACACACGTGATTTTTTCACAAGCACCTTGAGCCTTTCCATCCTCATGCAGCTCAGCAATCACAGTCTCACAGGACATGTGCTGTGCTGTGATTCCATTTGGTAATCACACAAGCAAAAGTTGTTTTTTGTTATTCTGAAGAGGATAAACATTCAGAAAAGACACCAAAAAACTTCTGTGGAGTATGGAAGCTGCAAGCTCCAGGAAAGTGCTTTTTCTGATGGACTGGCAAAAGAAAATAATTTGAAACATTGTTTTCCTTCCAGTTCCTTTCTCACCTCTACCAGTAATCCTAAACTCTGTCAAAATATTTTCTCCTTAGCAAGTTCTGCCAATGGTGCGAAGGAATTGGTCCAACAGTGAAACATGCAAGATGAACAGAAGGCTTTTACCTATTGCAAAAGACATTTGAGAATCAGAGATAAAATGAGATAAAGAAGTCAGGAGGGCCTTGCCTTTCTTCTCAGCACAGAGAGGTAACAATTTATTGCCTGAAGTTAAGCCCCACTTGTTTCTTTTCCCCATCACTTTCCTCAGATTTACGTTTCTCATCTGAGACAGCTCATCCAAGTGGCTATCAGTGCAACAGGTGGTACACCAGGACTGCAGGCTCTTCCTTGTAACTCTCAATCATCCCTCAAAAGACAATGATTTTGAGTAACCACCATTTTAGCATAAATTAGACTATTTACAGTACGTGTATTGGCAAACATACCCAGGATGTCAGCACTGCAAGTGCTGTCCACTGCCACCGTCAAATCCTGAGATGAGGAGTTCAAATAACCACCTGTGTTTACAGATCACTTGAATCCTATTGACCAATCTTTCACGCCTGCCTGACACAACCTTCCTCAGCCACACACTAGTTAAAAGATGGTAACAACTGACTTACGGTTATTTGTTTTTTGTACACTGAACTCTGACCACAGACTACACAGGAATACTTCTTGGGACATAAGCCTCCAGAGTCAGAAATGATCTCATCGTGAGCTTTGAAATCAATAACAACTTGAGACAGTAAAAACTATTTCTTTTATCACATATAGAAAACATTTAAGATCAGAATTGGCACCAACTTAAGAACAATTTAACAGAAGATATGAAATAATTTTACATAAGAGAAACATTCTGATATTAGCTCTGAGGTATGAGATAGCCATTGTTATTTCACACTCACTGTAGAAGCATTTTAAACTTGTGTTTCGTCACTGTGAATAGAACCATTGTTTGAATTCGAGCCTTTTTCAGAAACGTTGTTTCCTCCTTAGAGAAGCTTATGACAGCGATGGTCAGCTGAAAAATATTTTTTATATTGCATTCATGCATCCACTGCACGCGATCTCACTGATTCACTAGTTTCCCGTGGGTGGAACATTTTCATGGAGATACTGGAGAGCCAAATCTGTCCACTTCATTTCTTGCTCTTTCACAGACTCGGTTGTGCCACCATTGTCTTGCTCTGGTTCAGGAAGCTCATTCTGAGAACAAAAAAGACGTACAATGCATCCCACACATAATACGCTTCCTGAAAGGAGTGGGTTACTAAGACTTCATATGGATAAATAGAAAAATTCACAGACGAGACCAGGGGGTGTATCTGAACAATACATATCATATATACTGATCCAGTTAAAAATATTACTAAGTCCAGTTATGAACAATATTCTTTTCATGTGAATATGGTGTTTAATCTGAAAGGTAAATTGGTTTTCCAGGACCCTGGGGCCTTGCTATACACTCAGACTGCACATGCAGTGAAGAAGGAGAATATATAGCAAATGCAAAATAAGTAAATAATAGTATGATGCAATTATTCCATTGCTTGTTTGCAATGTGTTTCTTTTGCTGTTGCCAAGAATACAGATACTACATTTATTATAGCTGTTATTAAGACAACTGTAACATGTTACTTTCCTATGGCAGGTGAGAAATCCTTCCTCTTTCTACATGCTGAACACAGGTGTGGTTGTGTTATATCAACAGTAGAAGTCAGAAACCCCTACCAGGTGCAACACAGAGCTGCTCACAACACAGTAAGGAGGAAGTATAGTTTAACTGAGATTTCGTTTTCCTTCCTTACATTATTTGTTCTCTGTGTTGCTGTAGTGGTGCAGTCACACAGAGCACATGTTATTCTGCCAGATACCATTTGGGCAAGAATTCTGAGTTCTAGATCTCTGGAAATCCCAGCATGAGCAAAATAAAATTTTTCAGTTTTGAAAACAGCATATGATTCGAGCCCATTTGAGTTCATAGGAATCTCTCGAGTGAGCACTGCATCAGATGCTCAGGACAGGCTCAAATACCACTTTACAGCCATTCTGTTCACTCCTTTACAATGCCGCTGAGTAAGTCTCCTGTGAATTTGTGCTGGTTTTCCTATGTGATCAGAGCCAATCCCATCCCCGGGGATCTTTATATCCACAGCCAGGCCTTTCTTTCTATTGTTAGTTGATGAGGCTTCCTGCTCTGAGGCTGCCATCTGTATGTGACTGTAAGTAGCTCAAGAGATGGCTGTAAGGAAAGAAACAGTAATGTTTGGACACAGGGTAAAGGCAAATGTCAGCAAGAAACTAGTTTATCATATTCAGCCTGCCTAATAAAGGTTATCCCAAGAAAAAGTGGGTTTGGGCTCTTGTATCTGAGAATCACAGCTCTGCAAGATCATTCCCTCAAGCCCAAATCTTGGCAGGAAAACTTGTGTGCTGTGTATATGGATTTTGGAGGTGTGTAGCTACTCCTTGCCCTCTCTGAAAAGACAGTGGTGTGAAGGCTAAAGCTTGAGCCATGTCACTGGCGATTTGGAAATGTCTCTGTGCTAAAAGAAACCAGAAGCCTATCAATCCCCACGATCTTAGCATGACTGCTTTCTCAGTGCCAGCCAGAGTAAAGCTTGTGTACCAGAGAGAACAAGGAAAGGGAAAATCCTCAGATACGTCTCACTTCCCTGGTAGTTCCCAAATGGCTAAGGAAGACATCAGTGGGGGACATCTGAAGCTCCAACTTGGGGATCTGTGGGATCAGAGGTAGCTTTTCCCCAGCTGCATCTCTCTGGCCTCGTAGCTATACAACAAGCTGTACGCTGCTGACTAACTGCCATGTGTTGGATGCAGCGCTACAAGCAAGAGTCCCACTGCAGATGCCAGTTTGTTCACTACTATCCTTGAACTGGCAACAGCAACAGTTTATTTGGAAAAGACTGATTAGGAAGACATTTGAAAAATTTTCAGCTTCTTTTAATGGCATTTCAGAAAGTAGAAATAAAGTTTAACCAAGACTGCAACTGTCAGCATGAGACTGATCCTCTCTGTTCTACAAACCAACTGGGAAACCGCTTCAAACACTAGTAACATGAAGGGGAAGCATAGAGAAAGGATGATTCTACTTCTCCCTGATGCCAAACCCAGAACTGTGCGATGGGAAGGGCACTCCAGTTCCGAGGAGATACGGCAACTGGTCAGGGGAAGGGGGAGACAAACAGCCAAGTCCTCATCTGCACACAGGAATGACAGGCATATAGGACAGAAAAACAGTGAGTCAGATCCATTCAGGGAACATTTTGTACAAATTAGCTGCACCACAAGCAATACTCTCTGTGCCGTTTCTTGGAAGGGGCTGTGATAAACACACCGGTCTTAACTTAGATTGATAAGTAGCAATTCACCTACCAGAGGGATAGCCACATCCTCGTATGGCAATTTATCTTCCCTCCACGCATCATCGATCAAATCCAGGATTCTGCCATCTCTTTGCACTTCGCTGTCCATCGTTGTAGCAGGCAAGTACAGCTAAATCTGTGACACAAAGCAGATACTGTTTCTAACATCCACATCCCCAACCACGTAGCTGGAGTTTGGACTACGGGCTTGCTCCAGTTTTGATCCAATTCCTATTAAGCTTAAACTTTTATGGAAAACCTTGATTTTCCTAATCCGCTCAGAAAAGGGTTATAACCACAGGAGAACTACTTAATCTGAAAAGAACACTATCAAACTGAATTGCAGATTGATGAATATATAAAACTAGCCTGTTATTATTAATTATAGAGATTTACATGTGTGTATAGCTACTGACCTTTAGAAGTCTCTTTTGAGTGAGCTTGAGGACCTAGAGCTCCCCCGTGCCCTCTAACTCTGTGCAGAACCATTGCTTATCGTTTGCTGCTTACTCGCTTTCAGTCCCTGATCAGTGCCGTAACTCACCCACACCTTCACGAGTCTGGGAAAGAGTCAGAACAAAGGATTTAATGGCACAGAAAATGCTGCCAAGACCTGGAGTCCAGGAAACTGGTGAAACAGGAGAAAAATAAGACCTGTCTTCCACCCTCAGCTACTACAACCGTTCCAGGGGTTTCTTGTGATTATTTGATTAGCACTCTGCCCTCCTTGAAACGTCACCGCAGAACTCACCCGCGTGACTCCTGCAGGACAGCAGCCAGCAGCAGGCAGCTCGATCGTGCCAGGGTTGGAAGACTACCGATATTTATTGAAAACCAAACCAGGCTTGGGACTCCCGGAGGGTGCAGGAGCCACCTGGCCATGCCTGGCTCCAGAGCTACACGTTGAACAGGCCTTGCCTTTACACCCAGAGCTGTGGCGCGCTCCAGCCGCCCCGGAGGCGGCCCTGCGGTGGGTGGGGACAGCCGGGCAGGGCGGACACCGACTCGGCGCTGAGGACAGGCCTAAGCGCATCCCAGCCCCGGTAACCGGAGCGATGCGGCCCCCTGCCCCTCCCGGCCAATGCAGCCCCGTGGCCCTACCGTGCCTCCCCCC